GTAGGACCCTGTAATAATACTATATCTCTTCAAATTTGAAGTCTAGTAATTGTTGCGCTTGCTCTGTCATTAGTAGGTGATGATATCCATCCTTTAAGTTGATAGTTATTACCTCCAATTTTTTCCCATTATATGAATGAAGGTGTTCAAACCCTCGAAACGAAATTTTTTCTCTGGTAGAGTCCTGTTCAGCCTTTTTAGGTCTATTATTAACCTCTACTTTTTTGGCCCTAGTTTCGGACGTAGAAAAATCAGACTCACTTCTATTAGGAAGTCTGGTTGTCTCGAACCCTTCCTTGCTATTGCAATTGCCCTTTCGTTCAACAACCGAGTTAGTTCCTTCTTTGTCCATTCCTCTTGTTCTTTTGACATCTGATATTGTCATGGATCGTCTTGTGCTGCTAGTTGCAGTAACCCTCTTGGGTACAGTGGTATTCTATAATTTAGTCAGTTTTGTATTACTGGTGCTGCCTGTATCTTTTCTTTCCAATATTTTACTACCTTGGGTTTGTTCAGTTGCCCAATTACCGTTCTCGAAGTGTCCTGAGTATAGTTAGCTGATGTTTCTGGGGTGTGGTGTGTACCTTTGTGAGTCACGGTCATAAGGGTTTCTTTCCTTGATTGCAGACCTGTCAGCTTTTGAGGAGGGCAGCCATTTGAGTAATGTCCAATACCCCTACAGTTGTAACAAGTGAGTTTTCTATTTTTCCCTTTTTCTCTCATATGCTGATCATGGTCAGTTCTTGATTCACTGATTTTTCTGTGTCCTTCATAGTAGTTAGTTTTTTGATAAAACTTTGGTTCTCCATAGTAGTTCACTTTCCCATATCTGTTGAATCTCCTATCATAACTTGAGCTCTCATAGTACCTTGGTCTGGTATGCCCACTTGCTTCACGAAAAAATGGTTCATTAGATGTGTATTTCCATTTATCTCTTCTCTTTGATGCTGCTGCTTGTCTAGCCTTATTAATTACTTTATCATATTCGGTTAAGCCTTTATTTTTTGACTGCGGCAGTTCTGTCACCACTTCCCACTCATATTTCTTTGCTACATCCAATACAATAATTCTATTATTTGCTTTTGTTCACACTACTTCAATATGTTTTATCACTTCTTTTCCTGATGCTGAATTTAGTGCTATGTTTAAGTTTTGACTGATCTGTCTTAAAGTGTCATATTTGTACTGATCTCTGAGTTTTTCAAATTTTTTATCTGGCCAGTTATCCCTTATCTTAGCTCTAACGCTTGACTCCTTGACCCTTTCAGTTATATTATTTACATTCTTTCTAAGGTACTTGATCTCCTTCAGTAGCTTTCTTATTTCCATTTCTTTCACTTTCATGTTTTTTTGTCTTTTGTTAGGTCTTTCTTCACTAGTTTCCTCGTCACTTGAAGTTCCTGATGTAGGACTTAATATAGATTCAGTTACAAGAGAGAGTTCATTCGTTTGTGCAGAGGGTTCTTCTACTAAAGTGTCTATTGAGTGTGTTTTTGTTTCTTGCATGTGGTTTTGGTTATGTTCTCCAGTTTCTGCAAGATGCTTTATCAATTCAGCCTTGTTTCTGGTGAGGTCCAAGTTTAGTAATGTGCATAGGTTTCGGAGGTTTTCTATAGTCATGTTTGTTTGTTTAAAATTGTTCTGTCAGGTTTTCATTTTATTTATTTATTTGTTTTGTCTTTTCTTTTTTTTTTTTTGTATATTATTTGTTATTGATTAGTTCTTCACTTTTTATACATGTTAGTCTTGGGTCATAGTTACTTCAAGCTAGAAACTAAATGTTTCAGTCACAGAACAAACAGTGAAAGAAAAGCACAACTTTCTTCTTTTTTATACCAAGCTTTATTACTAATATTGCAGGTATGCTGCATAGTCATGTGTTGATCCTCGTGATAATAGCCCTCCTGTGACTTTGTCTTGGTCAGGCACATTATTATCGTCAACCTTACAAACACACTTAGTCATATACTTACTCAACCTATTTCTAGTAGCAAAGATATAGGAGCAATAAGAACATGTGAAGCTTGATATTTTTAAATTTTTAAGGAATTAGAAAAATTTTTAGATTACAATATAGATTTTAAAATTTTACAAATAATTTCAAAATATATTGTATATTGCAAAATAATTCGAATACTGTTAAAATTAAGAAATTACTTTATATTATATAAAATAATTTATTCTATCAATATATTAAAAGTATTAAATTAGTTCTTTAATCATTTTAATTTAATTTTGTTTCTTTAACATTCAAATTAAT